ACAGTCCGTCTTTCGTGAAGTGCACAAAAATACAGCCTTTCATCCTGCGAAGCAGGTTTGTTAATTACGATACACACTGTAACTTCGTCTTAGTTCAGAGGATCGGTCCCCAGCACTTTAACTTAAAACACCCAATTCACACTCGTTGCAAACTAAACGCTTACAGAGATGTGATACCGGTGCCAAAACATTTTGGTTCGCCACGGCTTAGCGTTATGATACTGGTATCATACCGTAATAAAGGATCGTTTCTGCTCCCTGTGAATCAGTGTGGGAAGGTTGTATATGATAAAGTGTTTTACAAAGCTGGTTGAGTGGTCATGTTGTAAAGGGCGATGTTTGTCAAAAATTACGCAAGCAAGTTTTCTCTCAAACGTGTAGATTGTGCCGGGAGTCACAACCTCACTCGACAGCAAATTCCATGATGAGACAATCCGTTGGCTGAGGGGAAACTCCCTACGGTCTAGTCGCATGGGTTCACTCTTGTCTTTATAGGGGTGACCGCGTAGGTGCTTTGTGCGGGCAAATTCAAAGAAGCCCCTCGGCCTCAATGAGCAATCATGGCCTTGGACAACCAGGAATATTCAGAATAGGCTACATCTTAGCCGCTCATAAGACAGAGAGAATAGGCCAAGCACATCCAACCTCTCCTGGTACGACAAATGATTTAGACCATCTAACATCCTCGCTGTTCTGCGTTGCACCTGTTCGAGTAGGTCAATGCTCTTCGTCATCTATGGTGCAGTTGCTGACATTCCATATTCCCCGTGTAGTCTTAAAAAGAAGCTGAAAAGTCTTTTGGAGTGTTCGGAGGGAAATATTTTAAATGCACGTCCGATCAAGTTTAAAGTGATTGTTGCCTTCTTGACCAGAATCTTACAGTGCTTTGATGACATTGGATTTATAGCCGTCCTCATAACCAAATCTCTGTATTTTTTTTGCATCTTCTAATGATGTCCAGCCAATTTGGTTCTGGTGTTTGAGAGAGGCATTTCGGCCGGTGTTTAGGCGTGGGACTATGAATTTGAATACACTAAAAGTTAAAAGCCATCTTTTTAACTAAACACTCAGTTTTCCGATGCTCGACTGCGTTTTCTTGCGTCATCAACAAAATTCACCTCGATCCATATTTACATGTGTTCCCTGAACATGAGGGCCTTGAGGTCAAGGCCGTTGGTATAATCATTTACATGAATCAGGCGGAATGGGGAGCCCAAAACGGAGCCCTGTAGGACGTCACTTTCCACTTTTGCCCATTTTGAGGTAGAATTACCAGTAACGGCTCTCTATACTCTGGAGATGGAAAACTCCCGATCTTTTCAATATTCTTTCTCGAACGCCTACGTCCCAAATCTTCGGTAAAAGAGGCCTGTGTAGGACGCCGTCGAGGACCCTCTTTAAGTCAAAAATATGGCACCTACTTGATAACCCTTATGCATAGTTTTTGTCCATTTCTCACGCGAGTAAAGAACACTCGCGGGACAAGAACGTCCTGGACGAAAGCCATGTCAGACATCACACAATATTTTGCTTTTTCAGACATCCTCTTAGATGACTTCTGATATCACGCTCCAATATTTTGCACACGGTGCAGGTTGGACTGACAGGCCGATAATTTTCGCAGTCAAGTAGTGAATGTCCTTCACGGATGGAATGAAAGAAGCACACATCCATTCTTCCGGCAGTTCGCCTACTTCAAATGACATTAGAAATACGATAGACAGTGGTTCAAGCAGTTCATTAGCGAGTTCCCAAAGTGTTAGTGCAGGAATTCTGTCAGGACCAGGTAATTGAGCGGGTTTCAGTTGGGGTAATTCGATCCTAAACATGGCCAATTGAAAGTGCAATGCCTCTTTTGAGGGAGAGGAGGAGGAAGAGTGGGATGAGGTGACGTTGGTTTATGAACAGCTGGAGGGGCAAAAATTTAGGTTCTCGAGCGAAAACGAACTGAAAGAAACTAAAAGGGATGCTTCAAGCTGGTCTTCGATTCCCAATTTTTCGTCTGCTTACCGAAGAACAGGAACCAGTTCCTGAGTCCTATTAGCACTCCCTATGTAACCACATAGGAATTTGAGGTACCCCAGGGAGTTTTGTGGCATGATAAGTTCGAACTTTCTTCGCAGCATAGTGGCCCCACTTTTGCGTATATCGCGTTACTGCTTATATTCCCGTAAGTGCTCTTTGAACCAGGTTAGTATGTAGCGCCTCCAAACGCGATTTCGTTTTTTGAAAGAGGCCGCGAGTTCGAATTTATCCGCTTTAGGCGGTTTGTGATTGTCTTCTTTCTGAGAAGTCAGCTGAGATAAACAGTGCTTTTCAGAAAGAAACTGGGAGTACTTCAATTTTTATTTGCTCCACCATACAATATTGTTTCTCAGGATGCCTCTGACGCTTTTCTTTTCGTGGGTGGATAATCCCCTTTCCAAACCACTGGCTTTGGCTTGGAAAATTTCACGGTCATTGCCTTGCTGCAGTATACTTTATACAGGGTTCGCGTGTCTTCTCCCATATACGGACCGTTTAAGGCACTTCTTAGCTGAGTTGTCCTTGTGATAAACTTGTGTGACAGCATCCCCTTTATAAAATATCAGCGAGCCTTTCTTATATTTTCTAAGTGGTCATTTGGGGATCGCGCTGGTTTTCCACCTTAGCGTTTGGTAATTTCGTAGATCTGGGTACAATAGCAGGTAATGAAACTTGACTAACTATGTTACATTAGCGACGACTGCCTCGTTATCCACCGGATCTGATTTGTCTGGAGATTTTACTGGAGACATAACCCGTTTTCTCTTTCTGACTGGCTTTCAGTCTTAGACGACTTTGTCTTATTTGGAGGATATCCGTCACTTGTCGATTACCAACGTTGAAGGATTATTCAGGAATCTTATATTGCTGTGACTGTATCGAATTAGACGAACATCGACACATACTCTGTTGCTCACTCTCATCGTTGGATCAAATTCCCTACCATAATACTTCAAATAAGAGCAAGGGTACTGAACGTTCGTTTGTTAACCTGCTTCTTTGTCTTTGCGAATACTGCTGAGCTGGTCATGATTTCTATGGAAAATGTTAGATCAGAAGCGTATGGAATAATTATACGATGCAAAAGAACTCAGACCTTGTATGCTCATGCTTGTCCTGGAATTTCCATTAACGTGTGCTTTTGTTTTTTTCCCTTTGTACTATTTTTGGCATGTTCAGAGATAAATCATATCAGAAATGAGATGGTATCGACAATGACAATGGAGACCGGAATAGCCATTTCTGGCTCATCAGCCATCATCAGCCAGTCATACTCAACACCAAGTGTGGATCACTTGAGATTCGAACCCAGGACTTTGGGTCATGGAATTTGACACTACCTCTTGTCACCTCTTCTACTTATTCCTATACACTCCGAGCTTTTTTCCCTCCAATTTCTTCTCCTGTGTCTTTCGTTCGTTTGCCTGTGATAGCATGTACTTTTGTTTTTTTATTATTTCCGTTCCGGCAATATGTGACTGTAGTTGCTTTATGTTCTTTTTTTCACCTTACTACTAGAAGACAGCGCATCATTTACCACGCACGCTTTCCGTTTGCGATTCTTTACTGCTCCCGGCCACTAACATTTCTTCCCCTAATCTGGTAAGCAAGTTTCCGTTGAAGGTTGGTGTTTAAAAGTTTTTGTGTGATGTACCATTTTTTTAAAGCAACTGAGTTGTGGTCATCGCCATAGTTTAAATCAATCAAAGAGGTGAGAGCCCGTTTTCCGGAGATTTTGCGCGCGGCTTACGGTTCCGAGTGCTCTGTCTGCAAACATTGCGTTCAGGCCTTTAAGCATAAGAATTCTCATTTATTTCGAAAAATTTGATGTTTCCAGATTTACTACGTTGGTTGATCATGTGACGCGTCCTGAGTCTCATAGTTGGTGGGTGCCTCCGTGCCAAACGATCGAAGATCTTCGGTCGACGTTGGTGCCTCAATCTAGGTAGCACACATGCGTTAACTTGAAACACCGGGGATAACTCATGAACTCGAGAGTTGTTAAGCACACCATTTCATTCATCCGGGCGACAAGCTAGGAGAAGGATTTGACGAGCACAAGTATGTGTGATAAGAACAAAAGGGAATTTGCACCTCCAGTGGTAGTCATTGATACAAGAAAAGGTCATTTACGTCAGTGAGGTGATTCGACTGAGTGGAGAGGTGACTCCAACATGCTTGTTAGACAACTGATGAGAGGTGTAACGCCATGGGCAACTGCAGGGGAGGGCTCTAGAGGATGTCGCTGTGGTGGTCAGTACGGCAGTCGGCGGTTGTGTGGCTATTTTCACCGACACGCGTTTACACCGTCTTCATCCTGGCTCTGAGCCAAAAATTGCCCACCTCGCTCAAAAGACCCAGTCAAATTCACGTGGCGTTACACAACCTCACAAACCCACTGCGTCCTTTACTATTCACGGAATGTTCCCGAAAGCCCAGGGAAACTATCCGTCGGTAATACGACTTTACTCTGGCGTGTTCGGGGCAATAAATGTTATCAGCAGTGCAGGTCATAACTTATTTTTTGGCCCTTTCATGTCCTTCGAAGGTTTAAGAGTTGAGCGGGGACTGGCACTCGACGGGCCAAAGGCAAGGAAGGACCTCTCTTGCTGCATTTGTCTTTGCTGCGGTTTCTGTTTGTTGGTCCCATCCCACCCGTCTTCGTTGTTTTTTTTGGTTCTTTGTGTCTCGAGTGTGCTTATTGGTGTTTTTTAACACGGCTTCCCAACAATGTCGCCTTCTCTACTTGCCCATCTTGTTCCGACTGTTGTGTCCGTCCATCCATCATTGTAACCTCTTCTGTAGCTCACAGCTGAGCACGTCTTTGTGCTTGGTTCTGGCACGAACTCTTCCGGATTTTTAGAGGAGGCGCACATTCAGACGACCAAGTGAAACCACGGCTTTTCCTGCCTTGGGCGACCTCTCCTTGCACACCACTCGGTTCGAACGCAGATTGTCGCTCTTCTATCTCAGCAATGCCGAAGTAAGTAACCCCTACAAACGGGGCCTCCCTCTTTTTCCGGGTGAGTTTTAATTTTTTAGGTACTATTGCGACTACTGTGACAAGTTTCTAACGCACGATTCACCGTCTGTGCGTAAGACACATTGCACCGGTAGAACGCATAAAAATAGTGTTCGTGAGTACTACCAGAAGTGGCTGGAGGAGCAGGTACAAAAGCTGGTTGATCATGCCTGTGAGTTTCAATATTTATCAATTCATCTTGCTAGCTGAAGCATACAAGCAGGGTAAAGTTCCACCACCCATGTTTGGGGCCGCGATGGGAATACCACCACCAGGAATACCCGGTCCAGGAATGCCTGCTTACCCTCCCAGGTTCCCGCCACTGATGAGCGTGCCTCCGTTAGGCATGAAACCACCACTTATGCCACCGCAGGGTCTAGTTCCAGGGATACGGATACCGCCTGGTGCTCCAATGCCACCTACTTGGACACCCGGGGCTGGAAGCATGCCGTCTGTGCCAGCGGGTGGCACACCAATACCACCGGCGAATCTGCCAGCACCTGGGATGCCTCCGATGATGCCTGCTCCCGGGGTTCCGCAAATAGGTCCCACACCTTAATCTGATTTTGTACAAAAAATATATGCTTTATTAATCCCACAGTCTTATTGCCTTCCATGTTTATCGTTGGTTTTTATCTAGGCATAGGAGTGCTTGCCAGGAAGATTTTGAAATGGTCACCCATACCTTGTGTAGTCTAAACACATACCCCGAGAGCTACGCTACTACAGACAGATTCATTGTTTTTGCACCATGGGGTGCATAGGGAGTGACTGTTACGCAGCCATCAGCTCTTAGTAATAGACTAAACTGCGCACAACTACTTACTGCCGATGAATTTGGCTTCCAGGGTTCCACTTTTTGGATTATTTTGTCTTCTAGACCATTCAGTAGTGTGTGGAAGTATTCTGCCAACGTCAGTGACAAGGGACTCTGGTGCCCGGTCAATGAATATCAATTCATACAGAAAGAAAGCTAGCGTCTAGTGACAACACCGGCTAGCCTGCTCTCGGTGAATTGCGATCGGCAGGACCGCCTTGGCAACCGTTTTATCTAACTAGTCAGGTGTGACCATGGCCGCCGCATCTCGTCCAAGCTGAATAGAAGCTCCCCCTTACTGGGTGTGGTTGAACCATAGGGCCTTTCTGACAAATCCCCACCCTCTAGCGTCTTATCTAAGCTTTCGGTACGTCCGAGCTCACACCGCACGGGATGTTTCTCGTTCCTGACGGCGAAATGATTAGGACAGTCGGCAATTTGCGGACTATCCCAACGCATAAGAAGCCATAGGTCGCCGCATGCAACTTACTGAAGTGTTTTGTTCAGTATAAGCCTATGATCTTGCTGTGCCGTTCGGAAGAAGAGGAGCTAATGTGTGGGGTTCCGATCGAATGCGTCCTATCCCACTTCTACAGAACCGGGCCCCCACGCACCCCTGACCGGGGGAAGGTTAGGGTGTCTGGCGACCGGACCGCTGGGCGAGTGCCGCGGTCCTCACCTACGAACGGCGTCCCGGAAATGAAATCCAAACGCTGACGGACGACACTTGTGCTGATATCGTCTCATCGGCCAAAGCCATTTGTCCACCTATGACTGTAACCATTAACGAAGTCCCGATTAGACGAAGAGTACAGTCAGTAGGCGACTTGTGTTCCGTACAGAAGTGAAGAAATACAGTTTGAGGCGAAGCGGGACGTGCGTACGTACGTTTCTAGGTCAGCAGTGGGTATGCTTGAATGAGTTAGACTACAATCTACTTTCCTCCCCCGTCAGCACCGATTGCTGTGATTATTGAACTCGCCGCAGTTAGCGCAAGTGTTCGCAACCAGAAATAGTCTCGACGGTCACATGGCGCAGCAAGGGTCGTGCGTTTGTTGGCGCCGTCTAAGCTAGGTATGGGAGTCGCCACCGCAGACTTGCGCCGGGGACTCGCGTGATGGCGGACGTCGGGAGTAGTCTACGGTCCCGTAGAGCGTCGCCGTCTCGGACGGCACGACCGCTTACTCCGTCAAACCAGAGGCGGACTCGTTTACTTTGAGCTCTACCAGATATGGCTCCAATGGGGGAAAGGTACTTTTAAGCTGCATTTGAGGCGGATACTGGGCCCGGCGGTCTTCGAAAAACAACTTTCCCAGGTTGGCCAAGTTGGGAGGTACGGGTTGGTGATTTCAGGACATGTCATTTCAGTTTCCTGGTCGACTAAGTGCACTTTACACTTTAATAATGGAGAGCTGACCAAGCTCTTCGAAACGTCAGCGCCCAAATAAACCCGTTTTTTTCCCCAGAAACAACTTGGACTGGAGAACGATTGTCAAAGGCTTAGCTGGTAACTGCATGACACGGGCCCGCTGGTTCATGATGTCGTAGACTATGGAGGCGGTTGAACCTTTGCAGGCGAAACCGACAGGGGCACGAATACAATATTGGCGGGGAATTTGGACTCGTCCACTCTGAATACGGATACAGTGCGAGGGTCCTCTCATCGGGGATTGGAAAACCTTGCCGATGACCTCGAACTCCAATTTTCGCGGTCGCTTTTCGAGGCTTAGTACGGTGGTGTGTGAGGTAATGGGGTCAGAGTCGAGATGGTCGGTCTAGGTTGTATGGTATTTTCTCAGTGGCGTTTGGCAGGTGTGCCTGGTTTTTTAGTATTTAGTTTAATAACTATCAAAATGCTGTTCTAAGAATGTCCCAGATTCCGGCATGCCTACGACGAAATTGCGACACGACCGTTGTCACATCTGTTCCAGCTGCGTTCAGATGCCGCTGGCGCCTACGGCACGCCTGTTCCCATTCGAGGACGTTGACTTTGTAGGACCAACCAATTGGCACCGACCTTAACGCTTCGGTTGAAACAAAGTGCTTTTTGCCTTGAAACACCGCTTGATCATCTCTCCCACATAGTGGAAATGGGTGCATGGGTTTTGAATATTCGTCCTTCTCTACGCGATGCCTATCTGGCCGTAAAGAACATCTGAAGAGTCAGCGTCCTATTGGTACTGTCGTAAGGACAAACTAGCCACCAGCGAGCTGCGCACACGCAGATTAGTTGTATTATTCAGTGCCCCTTGGGGATGATTGCTCAGGTGGTCGTATGACTGGTGTAGAGGCGCGTCACTCGCATACCTCTCTGACAGCCACGATCGGACTCATTACACCGGAGGAGCTGTGTTATCGTACAACAATATTCGGTGACGGATCCCGAGAGTTGTACTCACTTCCCAACAGCGGAGTCAGATTATTGTAGGTCCCGGAACTATTTGGAATTATTTACGGTGATCAGGGTTTTCACAGCCAACTTCTTTATCTTGTCAAATGAGACGACCGGCTTAGGTCTGGAGAGGCGTCAGTCAAGTCCAAGGGTGAAGGGCAAACAATTCTCCCAAACCTCGTAAGTCTAAATTCTTGAGAGACAAGAAGTTCCCTCGCCGTGTTGTTATGTCAAGCGTACGCTATCTCATTTGAAAGTATACAGGTTTCATGTGACGAAACATCGTCAGGCAATGTTGGTCAGACGCCTAATTTTCATCCAGCCTACTGGCCCCGTCCAGCATTCACCACCGGGCGAATTTTATGACAACTAAGATATTACGATGAGTTCATCAACGCTTTCGTAGGCTTGCAGACATCCCTTCAGCTGTATCGATCCGAGCGATGGTCCCGTCCGTACTCTGTCGATCCCCCAACAGTATGATTCCGATACATGTGGAATCGTTTGTATATAAGTAACGGTCGGCACTTGCGAGGGGTTCAAGTGCTTGGACCTCATTAGTGTGGTTTTACATGTAGAAACCCTAGCTATCACGTTCTAACCTCGTACACGGACCGCGAGGGGAACTTTGACAAAGCCTTGCCGAGGTCCATATCATCATGTGTAACTGATGGCCGATCTGACGAATCGATAACCTAAAGAAGATCTCGCGAACATGATGCACCTTGCCTGGAAGCCGTTAGGCCCTCGCAATCGCGTCAGATAACGGATTGAGAACCATACTTAAAGGTCAGTTGGGCCTGGGAGTCTTGATTATGTCATATCCACTAGAATCTTTACGCCAGAGACACACTGGGCCCATACTACGGTATCCAGGCCTTTGCAAGTAGGCCGGATGCCAAGTACACACACTGGTAACTCCTGAATAGCATTTTGTCGGCTAGGACATGCGCGCTCTCAAAGACGCAGTCAGAGTGACTCTCGACCGCATGAATTGTGTACAGGGGAACTGCGCATCATAGTCGGACAACTACCACTGCTACAGTGGTTTACAAGACGATCTGCCGCCAAACCCATGGCTCAGAAAGGAACGAAGGGCCCCGTGAAGCGCAGTTGACAGTCAGTCAGATAAGCTGTCTTGGTGTCACTCCAATGGGTTAAGGAAAGATATTTTTAATACACTTAGTGTGTTGTGGCAATCCGAATTCTCTCCGAGGCACTTATTAATCGACTTTTGGAGTACAGCGGGATGTCAACGCGCTGCCCAAAAGCCTCGACTGCCACATACGCGCTAGTTAGCCAACCTGCATGTACCGACCGCACGCAACTTAGAGCGCTTCCGTCCGCCTATCCACGTCCTTGCTCGGAGTCCATCCCAAGGGCCAGATGGACAGTTGCTCTTCGTCCTTCCCACAGTCCTTCTCGCATCTGATTTAAGAATTCCATTTATGCACAGCGCTCAGTGTGGAGATCTTTCCTCGTAATTCACCTTTTTCCTCTGCACCAGATATCAGAGCATACCACACTGGAGCGAAGCAATGTCGCCTTATTCCCCTATTTCGACACGAAGGACAGGTTTGAACGCTGCAACTGCAAAGGCATCGACCCGACGGATATTGCCGCCAATGTCTCCGTTGACACTCCTCCAAACCTCCGCTCTTCCAGATGTGCGTGGACATGGAAAAGCGGGACGGTCTTCACCCCGGCAGGAGCTGCGTCGACCACATATTCATCCTCCCACGCCTCCTTAGCCACTGACATGCAGTCTAGCAGATTAAAATTGTTCTGCTTAATTTTAATGACACTGGAGTTAGCCGGTGGGGCCTCTAAGAGACAGGTGTCGTACCTCCTAGATCGCGACGAGATCACTAGAGCAAGAGGTCGTGCCTACCGTAGACGGTGAATTCTATGATGTCAATGCAGGCGTTCGGTAAGGCGGTATCTACCAATCATTCCGTTCTAATCATGCGATAGATTCGGTTCTAACCATAGCACTTCACTATTAGGAGGGCGTGCAAGTTGGGCGAGACCTTTTCGCTCCAGACCCTGACTGTGCCGGGAATACCATCCGGTTTGGGAATTCTTCCTTTAGAATGTACGCCCCCCCCCACAACTTTTGCTTAAAGCCACGCGCTGCGAAAACTAATGTGCCAGTGAGCGGCTATGCAGCTCAACCTGCTGTTGTTTGTGAAAAGGTGAGTTCCAGATAGAAGCCGGGAAGACGTAGGGCCCGTTTCGACGCTCGGGACTCTTGATTAAACCCATGCTCGGCGGGGTAGACAGACAAGGCTGAAGGCGCACAGGGTGCAGTATTTGCAGTCGAACGCCTGCTAACCAGAGGGCTACGCCTTACCGCGCTTTGCCGTTGGTGTGATGGTGGATCGACAG